AAAAAAAAAAAAAAATCTATATAAAACAAAATAAAGTAATAAAATAAATATAAAGTAAAATTAAAAAATAAAATAAAACCCTCTAGCCTGGAGAGTTGCTGAAAGTATTACAAGTAAAGTCCAGTCCATTCTCATTCATTCAACAAATACTTCATGTACTTCTTCAGTAATCACACTGGGGATGCATTTTTTTTTTTAATCCTCATCTGAGGATATGTTTCTTCATTGATTCTAGAGAGAGAAACATCAATGGGTTGCCCCCATACACACCCTGACCAGGGATCGAACCCTCAACCTGGGTATGTGCCCTTAAGAGAATCGAACCTGTGACCCTTCAGTGCATGGGCAACACTAACCACTGAGCCACATGGGTCAGGGCCTGAGGATGCTTTTTTAAAAAATTTATTTTATTGTTGAGAGTATTACAGATATCCCCCATTTTCTCCCCTTTACCCCCTCCACCCATCTCCCACCCCACGTTGGGTCTTCACCTGTCTATTTGTGTCCATGGGCTGTGCATATATGCTCATAAGTTCTTCATTCAATCTTTTCCTGCCCTCCTTCTGGCCTTCCCTCTGACATCTGTCAAGTCTGTTTCATGCTTCCATGTCTGTGGTCCTCTCTTGTTCGTCAATTTATTTTGTTCCTTAGATTCCACGTATAAGTGAGATCATGTGATATTTGTATTTCTCTAACTGGCTTATTTCACTTAGCATAATACTCTCCAGTTCCCTCCATGCTGTCCCAAAGGATAAGAGATTATTCTTTTTTACAGCTGCATAGTATTCCACAGTGTAAATGTACCACAACTTTTTTTATCCACTCATCTACTGATGGGTACTTGGGCCGTTTCCAGAACATAGCAACATTATTCTTTCTGATTAATATTTCAGGATTCTTAGGATATATTCCTAGAAGTGGGATCACTGGTCAAATGGCAGTTCCATTTTTAATTTTTTAAGGAACTTCCATACTGTTTTCCGCAGTGGCTGCACCAGTCTGCATTGTAAAAATTTTTTCAGATCTGTCCTGGCCAGGTGACTCAGTTGGTTGGAATGTCGACCTGTACACCAAAGAGTTGAGGGTTTAAATCCCAGTTAGGGCACATACCTATGTTGTGGGTTCAATCCTTGGTCGGGGTGTGTGCAGAGAGAGCCCATCCGTGTTTCTCACCCCCCCCATTTCTGTAAAAATCTATTTAAAAAACATACACATTGCCTAGCCAGTTTGGCTCAGTGGTTAGAGCATCGGCCCAAGGACTGAAGGGTCCCAGGTTCAATTCCAGCCAAGGGCATGTACCTTGGTTTCGGGCTCAATCCCCTGCTCCTTCAGGAGGCAACCAGTCGATGTGTTTCTCTCACATTGATGTTTCTCTCTCTCCCTTCCACTCTCTCTGAAAAGCAATGGAAAAAATACCCTCAGGTGAGGATTGAAAAACAAACAAACAAAAAACCCACATATACTCAGGTGAGGGTTAAAAAAAAATTATCAAAAAATCTTCAGATCTAAAATTTTATTTGGTTCCTTTTTAAATTTTACTTTTCATTTACAGTTCACATTCAGTATTATTTTATCTTAGTTTAGGTGTACAACAGAGTGGTTAAACAATCATATACTTTACAAAGTATTTCCCTTGATAGTTCCAGTACTCTCTAGGCACCATTCATAGTTAACACAATATTATTGACTATATTCCCTACGCTGTACTTTATATCCACGTGACTATTTTGTCACTGCGAATCTGTACTTCTTAATCCCTTCACCTTTTTCACCCAGTCCTTCACCCCCCTCCCCTCTGAAACCATCTGTCTGTTTTCTATATCTATGAATGTTTCTGTTTTGTTTGTTTATATTGTTTTTTAGGTTCCACATATAAGAGAAATAATATGGCATTTGTCTTTTTCTGACTCACTTAGCATAATACCCTCTGGGTCCATCCATGCTGTTGTAAATGGTAAGATTTCATTCTTTTTTATGGCCAAGTAATATTCCATTATGTATATATGTACCACCATTTTATCCACTTGTATACTGATGGGCATCTGGGTTGCTCCCATATCTTGTCCATTGTAAATGATGCTGCAGTGAACATAGGGGTACATATATTGTTTTAAATTAGTGTTTTGGGTTTCTTCAGATAATATACCCAGAGTTGAATCGCTGTGTCATAAGGCAGTTACATTTTTAATTTTTTGAGGACCCTCCATACCATTTTCCATAGTGGCTATACAAATCTGCATTCCTACCAAGTGTATATGAGGGTTCCCTTTTCTCCACATCTTTAACAACACTTGTTTGTTGATTTATTGATGATAGCCATTCTGATAGGTATGAGATGATATCTCATGGTGCTTTTTTAAAAAATATGTTTTTATTTCAGAGAGAGAAAGGCAGAGGGAGATAGAAACATAAATGATGAGAATCATCTTTTTATTGACTAAAAACAGCATTAGCAAAGTTTGATCCCTTACCTCTTACCAATTACAAAAAATAAATTCCAGATGGATTCTGGGTCTAAATATGAAAGACAAAACTTTGAGAAGATGATATAGTACCTTGCATGATGCTTGACACAAAGATGGCTATGACTCCCTCACCACACCCCAACCTTCATAAACCCCCAGGGAAATAACAAAAACAAAAACAATGTAAGATGGGGACCTGTAAACTATTATATTTAGCAATGGTGTGGACATAGGTGACTCTGGAGAGAGCAATTTCAGTGGAGTTAGGTGGGAGGGTTCTAATTAGAGTGGGTTTAAGAGAAGATAGGAGAAAAATTGGAGACATTAAGACTATTCAACCCTTTACTACACAAGGGAACAAAGAAATGGGGTGGTTGACAGAAAAGGCAGGTGGCATCAAAGAAGTTTTTGTTTCATTTTGTTTTAAGGTGGAATTGACCAGTGAAGGGTGAAACCTGATGACACGGCAGAGAATGAAACAGCTGCCCTTGATGTCTTTGAGTAGGGGACAGGAGATAGAACCTAGTGCACAAGGGAAGGGATTAGATTTAGATAGGAGCCGAGATAATTCAGCTATGCAAAAGGCAGGGAGAGTGTATGTTGGTACAAATGCTGGTTGGTAGGTCAACACGGTAGTGAGATTCTTTGGAATTTTTTTCCTGATGCATCAGTATTCTCAAGAAATATTCTCAAGGTCATCAGCAGAGCCTGAAGATTGGGGAGAAGATGATGGGAATTGAGGAGAGAAGGCATAAAATAGGTGTCAAGGAGACCAAAGGAGTAAGTGGACTAAAGACACATAGAATACCAGACAGCATAAAAGACCCACTTGAGAGTCATGGCTTTTATTTTCAACTGAATCCAATTAACAGGGTTTGAGTTTTTTACCCCCAGCTACACTTAAGTGCATGGGTGCGGAGCCAAAAATTGGAGAATTAGATTTAATCAGGATGCTAGATTTGCCAAGAGAGTTCAACAAAGTGAGAGAGGAGCACAAAAATGAAGAGTGTATGCAAAGGAGGGATTATAGTAATTGAATGTGGACTTTATAGATAAGGAGAGAGGTGAGGATCTCAAGAGGATGGGACCAGAGATGAGGTGGCAAGAGTTTGGATTGGTCTTCTCGTGAGAAGGAAGGATTGTTAAGATCAGAGTACTAGAGGAAATGCACTGCAAGGACAGGCAGAATGGTCGGAGGGTGGACTCATAAAATACAAAGTATGGGTGGGGTGCAGTTATTGATAATGACACGTTTCATGGGATGTTCATGTGAGTGAGTGACTGAAATAGGGTGGAGGAGAGGAGTCAAGGAACCGAAGAGTCCAGGGTATTGGAAAGATCATAATCTATTCTCCATATATTTTAAGTCACCAAGAATAAGACAGGATGAGTATTGAAGAGAATTACAGTGAGAAGCTCTATAGCCTAAAAACGAGGAGGTGGAATTGAGGTGGAGGGGAGACAGAGGATGACGGAAAGAGTGAAGAGCATAGTGAGCGATCTGATCTGATGATACAGAATTCAAAACTCAGAGGCAGTTCTAGGGAACAGGGGGGGAGCATGGCCTGATACTGCCCACGTTGAAAGTACAAGCGATTTCTCAGAATCTATGCAGAGCTCACATTATCTGGCTTTCACGTAAAATTCTTGCTCCTTTGCAAATCAGAGAATCGCTCAGAGCTGGCCCTGCCGGCCGCTTCACCCAGCCACAGTGACGTCCTGGCCCCTCTGTCTGTGTGAGTGTGGCCCCCCTGCGCTGTCCATTGGAGAGCTACCAGCTACCGAGCAGCATCTTCCCTCGCTACCTTATTCAGGCAGCCCCTTTGAGAAGCACAGGGCCTCTTAAGCATGGACAGCTGGACGGTGAAACCTTAGCCATTTCAACAAAGGGAGATAGAAACTCTTGCGCAGACGCTATTGCCGTTACCGATTTTCAAAACTATGCTGTGGAATAAAACTTCAGCTGAGAACTGGGAAATCCAGGCACTGCTGTAGCACTGAGTGAGTGCATCGCCACTGTTGACCTCTAGGAGGCGCCATTCCCAAAGACTGCAAACCCGAAAGGTTTCAAGGAGGCGTGGATGCTGCTTCAGTTCAGGGTCTTGGTCCGCTCGCCCAGTCATCAAGTTCGGGGTGTTTCCCATCGCTTTCGAAGCACCTCCTCTTTTTGTCAGTAGCGTTTGTGTCCTGCCTGCTGGGGGGTATTACAGCATAATGGTAGGAGATTGCAAAACAGGAGGCAGTTTTACTGAAACTCCAAGTTGAAAGCCAAAGGGAGGCCGCTGTTAGGCCGTCTGAGACAGGGCCGAGCGCTCAGGGTTTCATCAGGAAAGCCCGGAGCGGGGAGGACACAGTAAGCCAAACAGCGTGGAGAAAGGGCAGCCTCGGGAAGAAAACACCTACCATTTTCTTTCACTTCGCGCTCTCTTTTGTTTTTCTGTGGTTGGCGTTTATGTGCATCTTTTCCCATAACCAGTTCATATACGCACGTTTATCTGTTTAAATTCAGTAAAAGTTGGGAGGAAAATGTGCCAAAACGTTGAGAGTGGTTGTCTTGCGCTGAGTGGGGCTATGAGTGAATCTTTTCTTCTTTCAGTTTTTCTGGGTTTTCCTAGTGTTCCTCAATGTGTCGGTTTTGACGGGATAAAAAGAAAGAAACTTCTCGAATAAGGACGGAGAGGCCTCATCCATCGCGCCGGGAGACCGTCGTGTCAGGGCAGGGCGACTCTCCATTCGTTCTGCGGCTCCGGCCTCCCGCTTTCACTCTTTGTCTCTTCAGTCACGTCGCAATCCCAGAAGAATGGGGGGAAAAAACCCTCTTCAAAACGTAAAGCCAACGGTCAGGAATCAGCCGCGGCAGGGAGCCCCCACGGCCCCGCCGGGCGTCCCCGGGGACCTCCGCGGGGAGCGGCCCTTTGCGTCACGAGGGGCCCGCCCCTTCCAGGACCCGGGCTCGGCGCGTTCTGCCGTTTTGGCCGCGGTCGTGGAAGCAGGATTTCCGCGGTTGTGTAACGGCCCCTCGCGGGCGTGCAGAGGCCTGGGCCCCGCATCCCCCCT